TTCCAACCTTCTAAGTATTCCTTTATATGTGGTTCAGAGTTCTGGGGCCATCCCCTGAGCCTGCTTGGTCGGGTATTCTGTGTTGTTGGTGGTAGAGTTCTCTGCTACACGTCCACCCGATCCGCCATCTTGTTTGTTGTCCCTCGATTTTACTTTATAGCTCTATTTAACTACGGACAGTAAGTAAAAGCTGAACATATGAATTTTATATATTCGTTAACAAAGTATCAGTTTTTTCGAACAGATTTATCGGGGCAAAATTTCATAAATAGTAGAGAATATAGAATCAGATTCAGTGAAGTTTTAGGCACAAAGTATTTGAAAGATTGGTGTTGTTACAGTGCCATAGAGTCACTAATAGCAGACCCATATAAGGTTTGTGAAGAGCTCCTGGTGAGTTTGAACTGCCAACTTTGCGGGTTCTACAGCAACCTTGCCTAATGTTAGTCAGATTTTCAGAGGAATCATTAAATTTTACCAAATGTCCAAAAACAGACTTATATATCACATTAAAGGTTACTTAAATAGTATAAAGGATTTAGGGGGTACTCCACAATACCTGGGACTAAGGGGAAAAGACTTAAAAAAAAAAATAAATACTGTCAATTCAAAAGATACTTTAAAGATACTAATAAACAACATTAAATCTTTAAAAATGGTTACCATTTCTACAGCGCAATTATAGATGAGTTTCTCTGCAGTTACACTGTTGATTTCATCAACAAATCGCTGTTTATCAGAGAAGAAGCGATTCAGCTTTTCTGTAAGTTTCTTGCACATGGTGATGCAGAATTTATATCGTTCATTCAAATTTTTGATGACTGAAAGAAGTGAGATGGGAGTTAATTTTAGTTTATCTTTAGAAATAACAACACAGTGGCATGTACTTTTCCTGCTAATATACTGGGGGGAAATGGAAATCAGACGCTTTCATATGTTCTTTTTGACTTAAGAAAACATTGAGAATAAAGCACTTCTGACTTTCCTCTATCAATTACATGACTAAAAACCAACCTAACAACACCTAGCATCTTTTCCCTTCTGACTAACAGTGTTTAATAACAAAAGTGAGTTCTCATAAACAAAACTTTCTTTCTTGGTGTAACGAGAATGGGGAACCTGAGTACTGCTGGAGCCAAGCTGCCATGCTCACCCGGACCTCACCGTCCACGTCCGCGCTCTCCTGTATCTCACCATACACACTCACCCAGACCTCACCTTACATGCTCTCCCGTACCTTGTTTCACAGCTGTGGACGGGCTCAGTTTCCCGGACTTAATCTGGGCTTTGGCAAGATGTAGAGAAGCTGCTAGCAGCTGTGCTACTTTCATGTACAACACCAGCTGTTCTACCCGCCTGCACCAAGAAGAGACGAAGAGTGTGAGCTACACACCAGAATGGGATCCCCTGAACATCATGTCATGACGAAAATAAACCTTTCTCAGGGAATAGCGGCTTAGGGTTTTTAATGCACAGCACAAATAACCACTGAAGGAAGAAGGCTTAGTATGAAAAAGGGCTAGCGTACACGAATCAACAGTTAGACGTTATTATCAAACACCCTCAACGGTATAATGAACAGGGAAAAGGTAACACTGAAGTTGTATAGTCTCTAAACCAGTGAAACCTAATACAATGAAATGATTTAATTACCCTTCTGAATCTTTTAACCATGTAAGTGCATCTCAGAACACGTTTATAAAAAGCGTAATGAATTTAGAAACGAATGACAAATGAGACACAGACCCCCAGTCTTTGCTCAGTTGGCTGATCTGGTCCACAACCACACTCTCTTGAATCTGGTACAAGGAGACAGCAGATGTGCCCAGCTCTGGATTTCCTCCCCTCATGGCTGTCAGATCCAAGACACACTCAGTAAACATCAGCATCGTATTCAGATGGCGCAAGGTGTCTGTGTGCTCACGCTGTAACAAAGTCAATCTTTCCTTAGAAATTTTCAGAATAGGCATAGGCTCATTTCTGCATATAAACCATAATAACTACTACTGTTTTGCTATACATGTATCAGAATGATCAAAGAATATTCAGATTTTTATATTTCCTAAACCTGAGAAAATATACAAAAATTAAATCTAGGTGAGTACATTGTTTATTTTTTGACTCTTTCTATTGTGAATTATGCAAAGGTTTAAAGATCAAATCATCAGTTTTATATTTAAGAAATCACACACTGTTTCATCTCAATGACTGCCATTCCCTCCATGTAACAGCAGTAATCCCCCTTGTTTAGTGTAGTTCTTATTTCCATTCCGTCTTCCTTCCCAACCCTTCTGAAATTTCTTCTTATATCAATGTTCCCCTTTTGATCTTCCATGGTGACCATACCTTGCCAGGGTTCTTGTATCCTCTATATAGAGCTTCGCTGAAAATGGGGCCATTAGAGTGAGTTCTGGTCTAGATTTGAAGGGTAGTAGAAGGTCATAGTCTCAGATTCCTCCAGTTTCTTACTGACCTCTAAGCCCAGTCTTTTTAATAATTTTTAGTTTTGTTCCGTATTTTCTTCCACGCTATCTGGGCCCTTCTAATGTTATCCATTTCATAACAACAGGGTAGTGGCAGCTGGGTACCATCTAGGTCTTCAGATCTCAGATTCACTGAGACATGGTCATGTGTTCCGGTGGACTAAATGGTTCCAAGCATCTTCAATTTTCATCATTCTTCTTTCCTCCAGACAAGGAGAGACCAATGCACCTCAGATGGCCACTCATGAGCTTTTAAGATTCTAATCACTTCTAACCAAAATAGGATATAGAACATTGTCTTTAGGGACATGCAATGTCAGTTGACCATGGTATTCCCTGAGACTATGGGCCCTGAGCCCCCAGGTCCAGCAACTCGTCTCAAAGTATTCGGTAATTTCTAGGAAGTTTTCATCATTTTGCTCCGTGTATGCTTTACCACATTCATAGGCCTGTTTGCAGCAACAGTAAATACCCATTTACAAATATTGTTGTCAAAACTTTATATATTTGTGGGTGTACTCCCATTCTCCCTTTCACACCCATTCAGCCTGTGTAGCTATCTGTTCATGTAGAACACTGTTGTTGCTTGGCTGTATATACAAGAGTATTTATTTACCTCTATCCCCCCCTTTTAGCCCTTGTATTCCTCTGTGTCTTCACCTGTCTTTATCATTCTTCTGTCAACTTCCCTCTTGTAGATTGCTTTCCCTGTCACCTGAGTTAACATGTGTTTACCCTCTAGCCAATGAATTTATCTCCCTTCCCTCCCACCCCGGTTAATCATCACAGAATGTTTCTTTTAGCATAAAAACCTTGAGTTTTTACAATACTTCTCTCAACGTATTTGTCTTTTTGTGACTGATGAATTTCATTCAGCTTAATGTCCTCCAGGTTCATCCATGCTACGAGGTGCTTCACAGATTCATCATTACTCTTCAATGTTGCACAGTATTCCATTGTTTTTATGCACCAAAGTTTGTGTACCCATTCTTTCAATGATGAGCATTTAGGCTGTCTCCATCTTTTTGCCAGTGCTGCAGTGGACACTGTTGTTGTTGGGCTGTCAAGTCAGTTCCGACCCACAGCAACCCTGTGTCGGGTTTCCGAGAAGTAGCTGAGCTACTTCATGAGTTCCCGATTTTGCAGTTCAAATAAACTTTGCAGTCCAGTGTATTAACCCACAGCGCCACACCAAGACTCCAATGAACACGGTGTGTGCACATATCTACTCATGTCACGGCTCTTACTATTGGGGATATGTATAAAAATAGAAAGATTGCAGGGTCAAAGACATTTCTACTTCCAACTTTTTGAGGAAGTGTCATACAACGTTTATGTTAAATATGAGTACCCACAAAAGTAAGCTACAAAAATATGAGGTCCCTGTGTTTTTATCAGAAAAAACTGAAACATTAAATGATTAAATAATATGCATGAGACAAAAGTAAGGCAAAACTAGTATCAACATTAGATAGTTCAATGACGTTTGACTTTTAAAATATCAGAAATGCTTTAATTTTTCTGATGGTGTTTCAGTCAACCAAAGTATTAGGCCAACTGTCAAATCTCTAAATTTCTATGACCGCTTCAGGTAGTTGAAGGAGCAAGTCTAGACACAGACATTTCAGCATTTAGAGAGGTGACACTTAAAATTGATATTCTAAAATTAATGTTTTCAGATTTGGTTTATGTATTTTAAAATCTCAAGACTAAAAATTTACCGCCCCCCTTTTAATTTAAAAAGGACTAAGAATCTTTCTTAGAGACAGAAGAACCAACCAACGTTTAGGGGGGTGAGGCTCAGAGTAGGGACTCAGGGTTAGGGCTGTGGCTAGGTCTGAGTTAGGCCTAGTCATTCGTTCAGAGTTAGTTAGGACTAGGCTTAGTTGTGCTATAGGTTTGGTGTTTTGCTGTAGGATAAGCACTGGACCTAAAGGTTGGTTAGAACTGCAAGGTCGGCAATTAAAACTCACCAGTCTCCTCGGAAATCTTATATACAGGGTTCGTTATGAGCCAAACTGACTTAATGGCACTTAACAACAAGAAAATGGTTAGTATTAGGGGTAGGGGTCGGGATAGGACTAGGAGTAAGGCTTGGTCTAGTTTTAAGGTTACAATTAGGTTTGTTTTATTTTTCTTGAAATCTACTTGATGTCCTCTTCATTTGGAAGGTCTGTAAATATGTTATTCCCTCTCTTTTGTCATGCATGTTACTCTCAGGTTATTGTTTGTCGTAGTTGGTTCTCTGTCCGAAGAACTCCTTCTAGTATTTTTTGTAAGGTTGGTCTGGTCTTTACAAATTCTTTTAATATCTGTTTCTTTGACAATGTCCTAATCTCATATTTGACGGACAATTATGCTAGGTATATGATTCTTGATTGGCATTTTTTTTTCTTTCAAAGTTTTGTATATATCATCCCATTGTCTTCTTGCCTGCATGGTTTCTACTGAGAAATCAGAGCTTACTCTTATTAGTTCTCCTTTGTAAATAACTTTTCATTTTTCCTGAGTTGCTTTCAGTATTCTTTCCTTGTCTTCGGCTTTGAAAAGTTTGATTATATGTCTTGGTGATTTTCTTTTCGGTATATCCTGCTTGGAGTTTGTTCAACTTCTAGGCGTATCGTCTCATCTTTCATGATGGTTATGGACATTTTCTTCCAACAAGTCTTGGACAATTTTTTCTATGGCTTTTTGTCTCTTCCTATTCTGGAATTCCAATTACACATTAAATTATTCCTCTTGATTGTTGTTATTAAGTGCGGTTGAGTCGGCTACAAAACATAGAGACCCTCAACAGGATCCCTGAGACTGTAAATCTTTGTGGGTACAGAAAGCCTCATCTTTCTCTCATGGAATGGCTGATGTGCTTGATCTGCCAACTTTGTGGGTCACAGTCAAGCGCTTATCCTCTAGACACCACAGTCCACATAAATCTTGTCTTTCTTCAGGTTTTTAAACTATTTTTTCTGACTATTCCTCTAGTAGGTGAATACAAGAGATATTTCTTCACGCTCAGTAATTCGGCCTTCCATTGATTAAATGCTATTTCTTTGCTCTTGCAAAGCATTATCTATTTCTGAAGTCTTAGTATGAATCTTCTGGATTTCTAATCACCATTTTTTATGGCTTCCAAATATTCATTTATCTTATGTTTGTTCTTGTAGTATTTTCCTGAATTTTTTTTCTGTATTCTCCTTGCTTTCCTCAATCTTTCCCTCAGTCCATTGAAGGCACTTAAATGTCATTCTTTAAATTCCTTATTCAGTTCTGATACCATTTCTGACCTTGTATTTTGGTCACGTGTTTGAGGCACTCTGTCTTGTATTTTCATGCAGGCTGAAATGACCTGTTATCTCTAATACATTGTGTTAATATTTAATTAATGATGGTAGGTTGGTTGATGTGACAGAGACTGGATATGTGAATACAGTTCTGTTTGCTATTTGTGTAGTTCAAGGTGGATTCACATGCCTCCAGACCCAGAGGTGGTGTGGCCACCACCCAACCCCAGGTAGAGTACAGAATACACAAGAGAGGGGGTACTACTGGTCTCTAAGTTGGCGAAGACACAGACTGGCCACAACTCCTGGCAGAACCACACCCCTACTATTGCCCCCAACCTCCAACCATATCCTATACTTGGCAGGCTGCTCTATCATGATGGTCATGCCACTCCATGCCAGCTGACAGCCCCACATTTTTCTTCCCTCTCACTGCTCCTCAACTCCACCCCTCTGGCCTATCCTTTTAAGTGTAGAGTTCCAAGATCCCCCATCTGTATCTGTTTCACTTGGTCTCCCAGGTCTTTGTTGCAAAGGGTCTGCTCAGTGAGTGTGCCTACTCCACCATTCTGCCCCAGAAATCGTCTGAACCAACTTTGAACAGGCTCTCTGCTCTCTGACAGAAATTAGGACTTTATGTTCCAATACTGGATCACATACATGTAACAACTGGAATTCTTCTAATTTGGTGGAGACTGAAAAAAACCTGAGGCTTATTTTACTAATCTTAATCCCATATTAGTCATATTTTTTAAATTATTACTAAAATGAGTAAAAAGTCACTACTGAAATCTTTTATGTAACATTTTATAACTTTTATATGAAACATTTAATTCTCATTCATACAAAACAGGAATTTTAGAGAGTGTATGTGAAAAGACAACTTGTTCTTTAATTAGCCTGGAGAGCTACTAATTTAAAAATAACTTTTCTTGTTCTGAATGTGTGCCTTTTCCTAGCTCGAAGAGAGGAAGTCCTATTCTACGAATGGGAAGATCTGATCTACTGGACAAGGTATACGTCTCAGCATTAATGGTGAGAATAACTTTATTTTAACTAAGCTTAAGTGTATTATTTTTCTTATGGGAAAAAAAAAAAACAATATTTAAGAATAAAAATGTATGGCTTCAGGACAAAGATTTTATTCTAAATATCTTATAGTAGTGGTGGTTATGTGACTTGCAGTCAGTTCCAACTCACAGTGACCCTGTATAGGGTTTCTGAGGCTAACTACAAGGTCGGCAGTTCAAACAGACCATCTGTTACTGGGAAACCCTATACAGGGTCAGTACGAGTTAGAACAACTCTATGGTACTTAATAACAACAAAATCTTTACAGGAGCAGAAACTCTCATCTTTTTCCTATGGAGCAGCTGGTAGTTTCAAACTGCTGACCTTGTGGTTAGCAGCCCCACTGCATAACCACTATGATACCAGGGTTAAAAGCAGTAACTAAAGTTGAATTAACAAAAATAAAGAACACCTACTTACATCACTGCTGCTAAACAATGTACTGGGAAATAAGCAAGGAAAAAACAAAAACAAAAAATAGATAATGGACTTTATAAAAATTAAAAACTTTTTTTGTATCAATGGATATAATCAAGGAAGTTAAAAGGTATCCTACAGAATGGGAGAAAATATTTGGAAATAATTTATGTGCTAACAATAGTAATATCCAGACTACATAAAGATCTACTACAACTCAACCAATCAGTCTTGGAAGAAGAACAGGCAGAATGCTCCTTAGAAGTGGCAGTACTTCCTAACTCAGGGAGTCCTGGGAGCAGAGTGGATTACGAGCTGGGCTACTAATCTAAAGGTCAGTAGTTCAAATCTACCAGCTGCTCATGGGAGAAAGATTTACAGCCTCGGAAACCCGATTCATGGTCATCATATGAGTCAGAACTGACTCCACAGCACACCACCACCACTACTACCGAAGACTCAGAAGCGACTTGATGTTGGTTAGACTTTACCTAACAACAGCAATGCAACTTAACAACAAAGAGACATCATCCAATTAAAAAATGGACAAAATACTTGAGCAGGTATTTTCCCAAAAATCTACACAAATGGTCAGTGGGCATCCATCACTAGTCATTTAATGTTGTTAAGTACCGTTGAGTTGGTTCCGACCCATAGTGACCCTGTATAGGGTTGCCAAGGAGCGACTGGTGGGTTTGAACTGCCAGCCTCACGGTTCAAGTTGCCTTGCAGTCCAGCACCTTATCCTGCAGACCATACCTAATGACTCACGTGTCATTAGGGAACTACAATCAAAACCCATTTCACACTCACCAGGTGCCTATTATCCCAAAATACAAAAGGTCCTAAGTGTTGGGGAGGATATCGCTGCTGGTGGGAAAGGTGTAATGATGCTGCTTCTGTGGATACTATGGAAAAGTTTGGCAGTTCCCCAAATGTAAAACAAAATTACCATAGGACTCAGCAATGCCTTATCTAGGTACAAGAGGATTAAAGTAAAAAAGTATTGTTACTAGTGTTCGAGTCAAAGATGCATGTGTTTATTCCAGACAAAAGGTGTTTCCACATGTCTCTGTAAACAGACAAGTTATGTCAGTAATACCCTTGTCTTAGTCTCATTATGGTCCCTTGAAAAAAGGTTCTGGGGGAATTTTCTGGGCCACTTAAATTCAAGGCACAGAGGTGAGCTTGTAAGGTTTTGCTGTTTTTGAAATTCCAAAGAGGTGATCTCGATAGATTGTTCTCAGAGGACAGAGGCCAAGGAATATTTTTCCATTATGACAATGCACCTGCTCATTCTTTGATGGTAGGTACAGGATGTGCTACAGAATTTCTTTGGGAACATTTTGACATTTTTATTTAGTAAAAATTTTTATGATTTTGTAGCAATAAATTCTGACTCACCCTTGTATATTCAAAACAACTGAAAGCAGGGACTGAGAAATACCCTAGCACAGCAGCGTTCACTGCAGCAATCTTCCTACCAGTCAAAAGGTGAAACCAACCTAACAAAGGCTAATTCAGCCCTAAAGACCTATGATACTGTCATGTGTGTTATAACATGAATGCATTTGCAGAAGGGTACCGTTGCTATTTGGAGTGATGTACAAGTTTGGGAACTGGGCAGAGGTGATGGATGCACAACATGGAGAACGCAATTAATGTCACCAAATTGTACACTTAAAAATAGCTAAAATGGCAAGCTTCCTGTTACCTATATTTACCATAAAGAAAAAGTACAAAATGTGGCCCTGCCTATGAATCAGAGCTTGTTGTGGATGAACATCACAGTCAACATTATTCTAAACATTTATCAGTGATGTTTATCATAGATGAAGAAAAACTTAAAACAAAAACAACTGTAAGCACTGCTCAACAGTATTTTGCTCTTTAGTCATCACTATAACACTCTCATAGAGCATCCAAGTTTATCTTTAATCATCACTGTAACACTCTCATAGAGCGTCCAAGTTTATCTTTAATCATCACTGTAACACT